GAAAAACTGTCATTAAAAATTAAGTGTGTTGTAAGTAATATCTACAAAGTGTCGTAAAACTATTCAAATTTATTCGAATAGACTTTGGACATCCATATTTCTTTTATAAAAATGTTAATTGCAAGATGTACTTATTATGAAGGTTATGTGCTACATTAATTACATTCTTTTTTAAGTATACTTTTACGACCCACTATATGTATACACATCTTACAGATTACATGATTAATTTTGATAAAAATGCTCATGAAATAATTTTTTATTATAGGTTTTATTATACATATTTATATAAATATGTTTTTACTATACTAAACTAAAAATTTATGATCACTCTGATGTATCGCCTATTGATTTTAACTATTCAATATTGTTACTACTCCTTAAAGCTATATTTTGTTTTTTTTTCAGTAATAGTAACGAAAACTTGCAATATTTGAATTTAACAAGATGGAAGCACATAAAGGTATTGCGAACAAATTAATAGATGCTGTTGCACATTCAACTCCATTTTCATCACCGTTGAGGCGGAAATCGATTATGTTGCAAAAAACAGTTGTCCCATCTTCTATAGTAGAAAATGATGATGAAGCAGAACGATTGGCTCGTCGTCGTGAATTTAGCGGTACATCAATATCATTATCTACCGCAAATGCTAATGACAGAAGATGCTCTTTAGGTCTTAGTGCATTGGGTAGTATACCGAGTACTCAGATGGAAGCACGTATATCTCAATGTATAAAACTTGGTACAGAAAATAAGATCAATCCCAAAAATGCATTCAGCTTAGAAATGATTGATTTTATGACATACATGATCAAAAAACAAGATGTAAACATGTCCAATTTACAAGTGGCCAGTGTCTCCTTAGATGTAAGCACTAAAATTTATGCATTTCGTGTTGATGGTGTACATATGGATATACTTAAACTGATTGGTGGATTAGAAAATCAAGAAAAAAATAATGAAAGTGCAAGAGATAATGATGCAGAACTGATGGATACTGAAGAAGGAAATGGAAATAATCAAGTCCAAATGAAAAAGAAAACAAGAAAGAGAATGAAACAACAAATACTCGTTAAAGTGGAAAGTCTAAGAACAAACGTTGAAACTGAGAAACCTACTTTAACAAGTATGGAATCAGATTTGCAAACTACAGATATGCTTTTCCAAGCTACACTACCTAACCATGCGGGGTCCAGGTTTTATTTTCACCCGTATAATGATATATTAATTGATACGGTAGAGCATAAACAAATACAAGATAATGATATTAATTATAGAATTCCAACAATAAAAGATATTTCACAAATGCAAATTTGTCCTCCTATGTTTTACTTTGATTTTCAAAATTTTGATGCAAATGATGAAACAGAGGAAGCACAACCAGAGAAAATAAATGAAAACACATTTCAGTTTGATTTAAATGCATCATTACCGCAAGATAATGACGAATCATGCGCTGCTGTGAATTATTTTGATGTTATAGATATGCAAGAGGAAAATGTAGACAAATGTGTCAAATTACCTGATCAAATAGACAATATTGTAGATTTCCGTGAAGTACTAGCCAGTACTGTACAATCTAAACCTTCGGAATATTCATTTATTCGACAAAATTTAAATATACATTGGACAGGCCCGTCTCATTGGAAACTTGCTGCCTCCAAGAAAAATTTCGGTAACAGTAACGTAATGGAAAAATGTCATCAAGCACCAGTTAGGAGGAAAAAAGAACTAGAGATAATTTACAGTAAAGAAACAATAGAAAGCATAGAAGCTAAATATTTTCAAAATAAACGATCTAAAATACATACTAGAACACCTAAAATGGAATGGAATGAAGAAATATTAACATTACCTCCGGATCAACATTATGATATTGCATATGCTAATAAATCGTATCTTCACACAACAATATTTAAACCCTCTGAAAGTACAGATGAGATGAACACTACTAATGTGTCCGATATTGTAGAAAATTATGATTATAATAATGATAATGATACATCAAATTATTGTCCTCAGACAAACGTTGATGAATATAGAGGGCCTGAAGAAAATAATGCAGATGAGTGCATGTTATCTACACAACCTTTGACTGGTAGTAATTTAGTTAGTATGCCTAAACTAACAAATAAGACAACTATTGCATATTGTGTACGTGCAAAGAAAATTGATATGAAACAATTGAAACATGCTATTTGGAAATGTTTATCTCAAAATAGTAACGACCAAGATATGATAGTAGATGCAAATAAAAGCCTGCAGAATTCAAATGATATGATTGGTACTAAAAGTTTCAACAAAATTTACAAAATGTTGCCCATGTTATTAACAAAAAATAACGCAGAATCATTAAGCTTCCCGATCTCTTTTGTATCTCTCTTACATTTAGCAAACGAAAAAACATTGCAAGTATTTTCTTCGCTTGACATGACTGATCTCCTTGTAAAACAAGATTGAAAGAAATGCTTTACAGAATGTTTTAAATGCTTGNCAAGATTAACTATACAAATTTAAAATGTTTGAAAACAAAATGTATTACAAATAATTAGAAAGATAAAATCATAATTCATTTGTAAAGACAAATTGTATGTTTATAATGTTTATTATATTTTATACCAGTGTAGTATTATTGCAAAACGTATAGTATTTTTAACATAGTTAAAAATCATTAACAGAGTAAGGAATAAGCTTGTACATATTATGTATGTGAATATTTATTTTCTTATTACACACTAAAGAGTTACACTTAAAATAATTTACTTAATAAAATCAAAACTACAGTGTTAATGTTTACAACAGCGAGTACTCTTTCAATCCTTTTAGGTCCTACAAATCCTAATAAAATTCCATCTAAACGTAGATGTTATGACAAAACTTAATTTTTAAAGAAAAGTGAAGCATTGTGTCACTCATACACGACCATCAACGTGCTAAACCTTGTGTAATAGTTTTTTTTATGTAATTATTTCAAATAATATCTATGT